GCGAAGCTTTTTAAATGAAAAATGCAAAAATTCCCAACAGTGGAAAAGTTCCCAACAAAAAGTGGAAAAATTTCCAACAATGTCCCTTTGCTATAAAATATTTTTTAATGACGGCATGTCAAAGTCAAAAAACCCCTTCGTATTCGCTCTCAGTGAAAGGCGAAGGGACTCGGAAAGTAGCTCGAATGGTAGCAAATTCTAATAGTAATTACCCAATGGCAAGACTGCCGATGCGAGGAGGGGAGGGGGTCATTGCCCGAAATCCTATCAGTAGGCATAAATCAGGGTCTTGATCCATAGCCCCCTATACTTTCAAAACTTTCAGCTTATTAAAGACGGAAAATGCTCGAAATCTAACACCACTAGCAACAGGCATAAATCAAGGTCCTGACCCGTAGTCCCCTATGTTCCCAAAACTTTCAGCTTATTAAATCCGGAAAATTCGTAAAAGAAAAACGTGGTAGAAAGACGAAATTGCTAGATGGCGGACGGAAATGTATATCACCCAAATTCTGGCCCGAATTTAAAAATGCGCGAGAAATACATAAAAACAAAAAATAATAAAATCCAAAAAAAAAACAATAAAATCTTTAAAATCTTAATCTTTTCCACACAAAAACAAAAAAAAATTAAAATCATTTCAGCACACTTTTGAATCTATACAAATGCAAAAAACGCACAAAAAGTATATTTTAGTAGTCCAACTGTTCATCCGAAAAAATCTTCCTCCGTAATTTGCTTCCGATGGGCCAAAAACTTGCGCCAAAAACAAGTATCACTAGCAAGGCTGTCAATGGCTCCCTCTTTCAAGGCTTAGAAATCAATGATGGCTGTTTGGATTACAAAGGAAGTTTTTCAAAATTTAATAAAGTTCATAATTTAATAAAATTAGCAAAATTTTTCAAAATTTAATAAAGTTCATAATTTAATAAAATTAGCAAAATTTTTTTTCAAAATTTAATAAAATTAAAAAATTTTCTACCCTTGGTAAAGTAAGATGTCGATTATTTTCAATCAATCCTCCCATCTTATCCATCGAAAATTCCTTCGCACTAGTCACGGTATCACGTGCTACTGGTCCATTCTGCAAATTTCATTTAACGGTGCACAGATTATGAAAAACCATCATCGAATTTTATCAAAACCATCATTCTCTTCTTCTCTTCTAAATTACCTAACATGCCCCCAATTAAATAGCGAAATGGGACACTGTAATGAAGATTCCCACCTCATTTCGCAGCATTTTAGTCGTCTGTGTTTACAGTTCTGGGATGAAACACAGATGTCACCCAATGCAAATATCGGCTAGCTTAAATGAGATTGTAAAATTTGGCTTCTTTGCAGAATGCCAAATAAGCATAGTCGACTATTCCATTCCTCTTTTCTCATGTCGCTGCACCTTG